AACCTGCAATCCTAACTGTCTCCTGAGGGGTCATGGGAATTTTGAAGTACTTAATGAAAAATCTTCATACCTCACTGAAAGTTTGTACTTTTATTAATTTTTGTTGTTGTTGTTTTGCGCTTTGGGGGATGGAATCCAGGGCACTGAACTGCTAGGCAAACACTATCACTGAGCTACATCCCCAGCCCTTTCATTAAACCTTTGTTGTGAGTCATTGGATTGGTTCAAGTACCACTGTTACTTGGAGATGCCAAAGAACAGCAAAATGCTACTACCAGCTGTGACAACATGACACAAACCTGATTCAAACCCTTGTACCACATACTAGCCCCATCAGGTACCACATCAAGACTCATTCTACTTGAACCAGTCTGTTTTCTGTAATACTGGAAGAAAAACCCATCTTGCCTATTTCATAATCCTTGTGAAAATTAAATGAGGTAACATGTAAACACAAACTTCATAAGACTGCAATGGGCTGTACAAGTACATTATTAATTACTGTACAGTCAGAATTCTAAGTAAGCCAAGGTAGTTCTAAATGTATTTTTACCTCCATGTGTTTGGTGTTTAGCCACTTGGGGTTTTTGAAATTCTTTAAACCAGATTATGTCTTTAGTACTGTACAGAAACATAAAATTTGGTATATTAACCACAAAACACAGATTGAGGAAAAATGGATTGCTAACATTCTTCTGATATCCCACTTTGGGACAACTTTATTAGGAAATAAAATAAACCTAGCTAGTCACTGACATATAACAGCATGCACAAAAGCATTTAATTTCAAAGCAAAGGGGAACATATAAGTCAGTTACAGTATTTGCTGACAAGGCAAGTATATAAATGAGGGGAGAGACTAAAAAGAATAAAAGCCCCAATAGCTATGTCATAGCCCTGTTCTAACAAGGGAGCTTGTACCATGTTCTTCATTTAAGTAACATTTAAGTCATAAAAGATGATTTAGTATAGTTCTAATGATATTTGAAATTGAATGGAAATGTTTGTGAGCATAAAAATTATCTTTTATAATACAGATCGCTGAGATAAACTTTGCCCTTCACAATACTTCCTGTCTTTGGATAAGAACATGAGGAAAAACACTAGTTAGGGATCCTTCTGCACTCAGTCCAGTCCTCCCTCTCTTAGCTCATGACAAATTAGTGAACCCACTGCCTCTTGATTTTGTGCTTTTAAGACAAGATAAGCTTTCCTTTTTCAACAACAGGGGGGTCACTGTTAAAAGTTCCTAAATTATTCAGGGAACTGTTTCTCCCCAAAGTCAGGCTGGACAGAGATCTGATGGGCCAAGGTAATCGGCTGTAAGTCAGTGTATTTGTTTTGAAGTATTACAAGAAGTACACAGAGCACACATCTGGGTTATAAAAGCCCTTTTATAAAGCCATTTTTAAACAAAACAAAAAAAAGTTTACAAAAGAAAAAAAAAAGATACAGAAAAAGAGTTAACTTGCTTCGCATGTCCCCAAAAGAGGAAAAAAAAAAAAAAATAAAGGGGACAATGCCAACATGCTCAACAATAAGGGGTTCTTTTTCTTATTTTTTTTAATACAAAATACAAGCAAAGGATACACATACTTAAAACAAAGCTCAGGAGCAGACACGCAGTCCTGGAAACCCTTCAATAAAAGCAAAGCGGAGTTTGTTTTTTCTTTGTCTATGCAGATACATACAGAGACTGGGATATGTAAAAATTAAGTATCACAAAAGACCATCACACGATTCTACCAATGCATGTTGCATCTATAAGCCACGAACATGGTCAACAAAATCATGTTCACTTCAACCCCATTTCATTTAAATTAAAGAAAAAAAAAACTTTAAATAAAGTGGTTACATTCAAACTTTAACTTCCTTAGTACCATGCTGCAGATTTCAGCACTGTTAAGGTATTGCAAGAATGCCCAACCTTCTGGTGTCAGATCATGTATCTAGCCACACTGCAATATGAAGAAAGGGTCACAGCCCATGGACTAATTAATACATTTAAGCAGGTTCCTTTCTTTTACCCTTCCTGCTCAGAACATAAACGATTAAGGACTAAAATCAAGGAAGACTGGGAATTTTAGAGCTGGCAAAATGAAGTCTAAAAGATGAATCAAAGCAAACAATTACTGAGAACTTGGCTGCTGCTTAACCTGGCAAGTCTGTCTTTCCTGAAGTCTTACAGGATTAGGTGTGTAAGGTTTGCTGCAACACGTTCATGGTAAACAAACTAAGTAGAACTCTTATTTACAAATCTTGTAACAAATACTTCTGGAGGAAAAAAAGAAAAGAATTCACTAATTTCCAGAAGACAAAGGTTTAACTGCCAGACGTACACAAACACACACTCACACGCACACCCACACGATACTTCAGGGGTTTTTATACACGTTATTTTAGGGCATAAGCTGAGTACTACACCCCCACACCCCATCAAAAAATAATAAAAAGGAACAACAACAAAAACTCCAATTTTACCCTCCCCCCCATAATCTAGAAAACCCTCCCTCACCCCTGATGTACAAAGTGTCTGCACAACCGGTGGCATTCTCCCAGCCACACAAGGCATGCTCATACAGATGTCACCAGTCAGTCACTCCATTGGCATGGCAACGGGCAGGTATACGGGATTTTTCCCAATAGTGGTTATTAGTCAGCACCACTGTGAATTTTATCAATTAGGCTTTGAATAAAAGTATAACTTATAGATTTGATATTTAAAAAGAATCATATTGAGTTTGTCTAAGAAAAAGGGAAATGAGTTGAGAATGAAACTCAGCTAGACAGCTTGATGTCCCAATATTTAAACAAAAAACCAACTGTCCAAGTAAACTCAGCTTCATCCACAGAGAAAGGAACAGATTTCTACCCTCAAGAGCAACCAGATAATTTTCCCTACCCTTTGGCAGGAAATGTGTATGTACTACTTGTTCTAAGTCTTTCAGCTTGAATGCCATAAAGACCACAGCCCGGTTTTCTTCCTTTCCAAATTCCCTAGGTGAGTTTTTTCTGTTTAGCTACTGGGGATGCAGCCAAATAAAGACTGACACTCCAAACAGCAACAAGGGCCTCACGGTCTTTTATAAAGCTTTCCCAGTTACTCCTACTATTGAAGTCTGCTCTTGCCTTTCTAACCCTTAAAACAGCTCTTACAATGAAGTTTGTTTAAAGAAAAGCATTATTCCCTTCCCCAACCAGTATTCGAAAATCCACTTGTTACTTGAATGTTCACAGACATAAAAAGAACTATTAAAAAAAAGTGACTCAAGTTCAGTTTAGCTGACCATATTCACAAGTTACCAAAAAACTACTAGAATATAACCCCAAATTCCATTTTTGATTTGTTATCTGTAAGACAATGCTTGAACTTACAAAGAATAAGTATTGAATTTGAGGACTGAACTGGGGCAAACCAGTTATTGTGGGGAAACAAAAACAAAACAAACGAAAAAAAAAAAAACCCACAACCCACTATCAAAGCTTCTTCAAGAAAACTCAATTACTATTCTTCCAGATCAAAAGATTTCCACTCATTACCTCCCTAAAGAAGGAATCACCCATTAATTTTCCTTTATAGAATCAATATGGAGGGGAAATATGAAAGGGAGAAATGTTTTAGAAAGTAGGACAAATCTACCATTACTGAGATTAATATTTATCCTTTGGGCCCACTCCTCTGATTCCAATCTGAGGTGACGAGGGCTAAAAGCAGCAGCAAGTTACCAATGAGTAAGAGGGAAGCTACCCATTTCTAGTTAGGGGAGGGGAGGCTGGAAAAAAAGAACCTTAACAACTAGAATGTAGTGTCAGTCAGCATAGCTGCCGAAATCTGTTACAGAGGTAAACCTAGCACAGCTAACTAAGAGAATTCAGATAACATAAACAAGCACCTTCAAAGTTAATGTCCCACTTCCTGAGCACTGCAAAATAAGACAGTGAATGCTATTGCCACTTCACCATAGGCACACTAGATAAAAAGAGAAGTTCAGCCGAGGGAGGTGCCAATGGCTGGCCACTATTGGCTTATAGCTACAACGCATCCTGACAACATTATCAAGCCTGACTACTGGGCACCTGTTTCCAGTTGAGTCACCAAAACAGTCCTCCCATTTGCATGCATGATTTGAGGGGAAGACTAGAATGTTTTAAATCATCAAAAGAGGAGAAAACAAAGGTAATTCAGAGCCTATCTCACCTGGGGACACAGATCCTTCTGTCCAGCCTATTAGAAATAGAAAACATTTTTCAACTTAATTATTTTTAAAAGGGACCCTAAAAGAGAAGCCCAATCAAATGCACACAAGTTAACTAGAATACACGATTATCTCTAAAGTATGTGCATATATCACGATCAGAGATGTTAGTGCAGAGTAATGTCTTAAAGAGAGTTACACACACACACAAAATGGGAGGCTAAAGTTTAAAGAGAAATCCTCCCCAATCCTTACAAAACAAAACCTTTGAAAAGCCCAGATGTTTCTAGGAATGTAAGACTTAAAACCCCCAAACAACATAAGTGCATGGTGGAAACACTGATAGGTCTTTTACTTACAAACACAAACCTTTTTTGTTAAAAATGGATATCTGAATAAAATCACTAAAGTACAGAAAATAATCCTTAACACCCTCATTACAATGTTTGCAACCATAAATTTAACCATCATGTAAGATAAAAATCCAACTGCTATTTATGTTCAAAGTCCTGCAATTTTTGGCCATGTATTAAAAACTCCTTATTCATTCTTTAAACACACAGTGCAACAATGAAATGACTCTGGGTGTTTTTAAAAAATCAAAGTTAAGAATGTTCCTTAAAGTGTCTTCATAATTAAGAGTAAAAATAATTCCTTAAATAACCCTTGTCCTAGGAACACCTGCAAGAAAGCTATATTGTCTGAGAAATACATGCCGTCGTCACTTAAGAGACAGAAAGAAAACAACAAGAGGAAGATATTGAGGAAGCAAATCTCAATTAAAAAGCAGGAAAAATGCAGAAATTAAATTTCACCATATTTTCAATTTATTATTATACCAGGATCCCTCCCTAACCTTTGCTCCTTTTAGTTCATGGTATCAGCATATGGAGGATCAAACTTGCAAATCTATTTCCTAACTACTTTCCTAAGGCATGTAAAATGTCTGTTTACCAATGGCACACAGGCCTCCTAAATGCAGGATTTCTCTAGGCTTGTTGAGTCTCAGTCTCTTGCTTTGAGAAACATGAGCAGTAAGCAGGGGGTCAGACTAACTAAGACAAGAAAAGCCAACTCAATAGTATGGAAGCAGCATTTAACATACTTCCTATCCTGTCAGTAAGTGAATAGTTAGGAAAAGTGTCCCCTAGTGAGCTGGTAGGCCTGGGGATAGGGGGCGCAATGGTGTTCTATGTAGCAGCAGGAAGCAGAGATGTACTTCACACCATATTTCTACAAAGAAACGGGAAGATTGGGGTATAAAAAGGAAAATGTTCTATAACAAATAACCGCATGGTTCATGGGATCTGAATGTACATTTATAGCATAAAAAGAATTTCAATTCTTTGTTTTCATAAAGGAAATACCTCAACTCTCTGTGACCGAGTTTCACATTAACTGGAACTTTATTTGCTTAAAACCTAAAACATTGTCAGTTTGAGAAGAAACCCCCTGTGATGTGTAGATTCATCTTACCATTCAAATTCTAGGGTGTCTATTTTCTTTTTTTGATCCTTGGTAAAATTTTATCCAAAAAACAGGATACATATATATTTTTAAAACATGAACCATTAGAGAATGAAATGTGAAATCAAGAGTGATTTCAGTTTTGGCGGCTCTTGTTTTTTTTTTTTTTTTTCAGTTCCTTAAAGACTGTAGCAGGATAAAAGGATCACTGGCTCCGAGTCTCTTTGAGATAATAAGTGATGAGATAAAAAAGGAAAACCCACACCCCCAAATAAGGTCAGGTAAACCCAATCCCCAACCCCCACCCAGGTAAAAAATATGAGTACTTTTAGTAACAATTCAGAATTCATCTTTATATCCTACCTGCCTCATCAGTGGAAGTTTAGAGTCATGATTTTTTTAGACATTTATACTTATGCATATAGACATATAAACTCATATTAGATGACAACTGATTTTTTTAAAAAGTCCAGGCAGAGAAAGAAGCAATCATTTTTAACTAAAACCTCTCTATGTTTTTGATTACTGTTTAACTTGCTATTGTTTAGCAAAAAGCAAAGTTTCCAAAGTGTTCATCTCAAATCTTATTGCTTTACAACTGTGGTACACCTTCCATTAAAAATAAAAAGATGAAGCAGTCAATCCAGTGATTAAGTTGACATGGCTTTCATTGGGAAAGGGAGGTGGTGGCAAAGAGAAGCCCAATAGACAAAAGGTAACTTAAACACTTCAACATACAATGGTTTTCTTAAAAAAGAGAGAGAGAGAGAGAATGTTATTTTCAACAAATGGAAAAAAGCACTGAAAGCCCATGAGTCAAGCCATAGCCAAAACCATGTTCTATCTTAAGTAGGTTCTCTTTTTTTCCCCCTCTTTTTTTCTTTTTTCTTTTTTTAATAAAATCTCTCCCCAAACCATTATCACTTTTAATCCTCCCCAGACTGGACTTCATCTTCAGACCCTTCATCCCCAGATTTCTCAGGTGGGGGGCTTGCAGACGTCTTCTTTTCAGGAGGGCTCTCTGGTTCTTCGTCTTCTTCTTTGGGAGAAGGAGTCTTTTCCTTTGAGGCCTTTGAAGCTGTGGGGCGACCCACTTTCCCTTTGCCTTTCACTGGACTTGGCGTCACTGAAAGAAGAAAAACAATGTTTAGGGAAGAGAAAAAATGTCTTTCTGTAAGAATAAAATCTATAAACAACTCCAACCTATCTCAATTTCTAAACAAATCCTGATATATTACTATAATATGTTGTAGTAAGTTCCAAATATTTTTTAAATTTATTTTTAACTGATATATAAAAATAGTGCATATTTTTATACGGTATAATGTGATGTTTCAATATACATATGTGCTATGTAATGTTTAAACTTTTTTTTGGTGGTGGTACTGAAGATTGTGCTCAGGGCCTCACACATGCTGGGCAAGCATTCTACCACTAAGCTATCCCCCCAGTTCTTTTAAAATTTTTTCTTAATTTGGGTCAGGGTCTTGATAAGTTTCCAGGCTGGCCTAGCATTTATAATCCTTGTGCCTCAGCTTCCTGAGTAACTGGGATTACAGGTGCATGCCACTACACCCAGCTCCTCAGTTATCTAATCATTTATCTAATGTTATCAGTAATACCTTTAATAAAGAAATATGTTACAGAAAATGCATGTCATCCTTAGTGGCTTATCAAACTGTAAGTGTTCAAGATGGAAACTGTTTTTACATTTAAAAAGCAGGACAAGAAGAGGGAAAGATATGACTTAATGTGCAAAGAAACTGAAGCCATCAAACAATTTTTGGTAGTTCCATCATTCCCAACAGCAAGAAGTATTATTTTTTGGAAAAGTTAAAAAACCCTCTAATTCTACATGGGGTGTGGTGGTTCACGCCTGTAATCCCAGCAACTCAGGAGGCTGAGACAGGAGGATTCCATGTTTTAGGCCAGCCTCAGCAACTAAGCAAGGCCCTAAGTAACTCAGTGAGATCCTGTATCAAAATAAAAATTGAAAAAGGCTGGGGATGTGGCTCAGTAGTTAAGTGCTCATGTGTTCAATCTCTAGTACCAAAAAACAAAACCAAAACAAAATTCTAATTCTATTTGCCAGAATAAAACTACTTACACAAAAAGCAAATCTAGATTTCTGATTTAATTAACAAACTAGCTCCAACTAGGAAAATATCTGGCAGAAAACATCAGGACTTAAAAGAAAATAAATTCATATTTTCAAGAGTGATTTTATTCTCATAGTACAGAGAATGATGCAGAAACCAGAAATGAGAACTTGAATGCACTATTGTACGACAATTTCAAATCTTCAGACTGGATGTGGGGACTATGATATATATCAGTTGGAGAACAGGGCAGTTAAAAGGTATGCTGACACAGTATTCCTACTACTATATCTGAAACAAATAAGCCATTACCAAATTTTACTTATACCTGGAAGTAGATGAAGACAAAGTACTGGTTCTTAAAATTTTTTGAAAGTAGCAATTAAATTTCACATTTGCAGAACTTACCTGTAGCCTTTAGTCTGGGTTTGGGCATTTTCTTTTCTTTTCTCTCAGGTTTGGACTTCTTAACCATCTTTTTATTTTTCTTTTTTGAACTGCCGTAGTCACTATCATCATCGTCTTCCATTAGGAAATCTTCGTCACTGCCTGAATCTTCTGAGAATAAAGAGAATTTCAACATCTAACTTAATGTAAACATTCTTCCAAATAAACAAAGGGAAAGACTGTGAAGAATGATCAGAGGATGGGATTTGGGAGTCAAACACTACTGGATTCTATTTGTAGTTGTTCTAACAATGTGGTTGGAGTCATCACTGGCCCCATCTGTAAACGGGCTTGGCATGTAGCTCACATAAAGATTACATGGCTGATAAAGAGCTGCTTGGAGACAGAAGGGACAAAACAATCTAAGTAAAAACTGAAACCGTAAAATAACTTTTGGTAGTTTTATCAGTCCCATGTAGGACTGGTTGAAACCAGGGAATCAAACTGAACTGACCTGGTACTTTGGGCCTGATATTGAATAAATCAAACAAGAAAATTACAGGTAAAACAAAAATTCATATCGCTAATCTAAATAACCTGTGCAATATCTACACTTTGCTATTAATATTTTTTTTTGGAGGGTGTCCTACATTCTGTACCAGGCTAAAACACATCTCAAATCACAACATGTAGTCATTACTTTAATACTTGTTCATTTTGTGTTCAAACCTGAACATCTTTAAGAAAATTGGACAACCATTACAAATAGTGAATAATGAGAATATCTGAATACTTAAAATATTAATGGGTCATCATCTCTTTTAACAGGGATTATCAACCTAATTTAAAGGGCTGTATGAAACATTTAGTATCTTAGAAAATGCCAAAATAACCAGAGTCATAGACGATAACCAAACAACCAAAGGACACTAGCCAACTTCACATACTCTCCTGGAATGGTGCCTCATCTTCTTCTTCTTGTTCTTCTTCACTGCCCACATCTTCCATGAGCATCTCTCTCTGTTTAGAAGCTGCTTTAGATGCTGCCTGCCTTTGTTGACGTACATTTTTATGATCATCTTTTTCATCTTCACTGTCCTCTGCAATATGAAAGTTATCATGATGAAAGGATAAATCATTTTTGCATATCAAAGATGACTGAAAGAGTCAACCTAGTGGCCAATATAGTATGTAAAGACGGCTTTATTTCTTCCTTTTTTTTTTTTGGTACTGAGGATTTAACCACTAAATTTACCACTTAGTGGGGCAATTTAACACTAAGCTATATCCCCAGCCCTTATTATTTTGAGACAGGGTTTCACTAAATTGCTTAGGGCCTCACTAAATTACTGACACTGGCCTTGAACTTGCAATACTATTATCTCAGCTTCCTAAGCCACTGGGATTATAGGTGAGTGCCATAGCACCTGGCTTTATTTCATTCTAAAAGGGTAAATTCTATCCTTAAAAATTTCTGCAAAATATAACAAGGAGGAGTTAAAGTTCACAAGGAAAGAACCTGAATAATTCTATATACCCAGGACATTTATAAAAATAACTTAAACATGTAGTTTTAAGCAAATAACAAAGCTGAATTAAAGAGTGAACACATTTCCTATAATATACGTTAAATTTGTATCACTATTTTGCCCTAAAATTCTCAATTACATTCAAACCTATGTTTTTAGAAAAGACAGAAAAATATTTTAAAGTATTTTTAAGAGGGGATGAATGTTTTCCAGTGATCTTAAGATATAAGACAAAAACCAATGTCAAATCATTACCCTTTACAATTTAGAGGGGCTAGAGGGAACCCTTTAAAAACATGTTTGTATCAATTAGCTAAAGATACCTGGGACAAGCTTATAAAAAATTACTTTCACATATTACAATTTAATTAAAAACTTTTTTTTTTTCAATACCCAGGGTGTTTGAGTATAAATTTGGTTTAAGGACAGTCAGCCAGGTCCCTGGCTCTAGAACAAGCTATGCTGTATTAGACTCTAGTATAGCCCTTTTAAGCTCTCTTATTCTACTAAGGTTTAGCTGTCATTCTTCTGAAATACTCAGGGTCCTGTGAGCTTTGCCATGCTCAGTGTTCAAATCTTGGTCACTGCCAAAAACCTCATCTACAGACAACAGAGAAGAAAGCCGAGTTGGTGGACCCTAAAATAAATTCACCTATTCTTGATATTAGTACACAGTTATGTATCTTGAAATGCTCAAAAAACTAATAAAGGTAAGATATTCAAGTTAGGATTCACAAGGCAAATGAATAAGTGTATGCTACATTATCTTAAGATCACCAGATAGTATAAAATGTTAAAATGATTTATTTTCAATGTAGGCAGCCAAACAGCATACATATAGCAGGAAAATAAAACAGAGTGAATTTAGCAGAACCTTGTTTACCATCTAAATATCAGCTAAATAGCTGTCTAGTTAAAAGGAAAACCCAAGAAGACAAAGCAGGAATACAGGTCAAAACTAGTGTCTGGGAGCAATAAGGAAAAAAATCCTCAATTCTTTTAAAAGTTAAACTTAACATTTAGTACCAGCAATAAGTCATCAGGATTGAACATTAGTCCATGGAGATGCCTCATTAATTCTTACAAAAAGTTTTCTTTGTAGGTAGTTTCCTTCTTTCTTTTTTTTTTTCCTCTCTCTCTTTTTTGTTTTTGTTCAGATACTGTGGATTGAACTCAGGGATGCTCTACCATTGCCACTGAGTTATTTCCCCTGATCTGTATTTTTTTTTTATACCTTTATTTTATTTATTTATTTTATGTGGTGCTGAGGATCGAACCCAGGGCCTCGCACATGCTAGGCAAGATCTCTATCGCTGAGCCACAATCCCAGCCCCCTGATCTGTATTTTTTTATTTTGAGGTAGGGTCTTGCTAAGTTGTTGAGACTAGCCTTGAACTTGCCTTCCTCCTGCCTTAGCCTCCTGAGGTGCTAGAATTATAGATGTAAATCTAAAAAAAGTGGCACTGAAATTTAAGCCTTTTTGCTTTTCAACCTAGAATTGATAACTTCCTTTTTAATACCTTTATTTCACTTAGATTATACACATATATAAATTTAGTTTGAAGTCTTATCTGTTCATGTAGAATGTTTTCAATATTGACTGTGCATAAAAATAATCTACAGCTACTTAAAAACACACAGAAAGCCTCAACATTCCACCTATATTCATTTAACTGGAAATCTTGGGGCACAACCCAGAGTGCCTGTTTTGTAATAAGCCACCAGGACAGAATCATTATTAATTATTTGAAGTTAGAGACATCTTTGTAAGTCCAGTTTTCGCAATAGTGCCTGATGTACAAAATTGCTTGTTAAAATGCCTAATGAACTTATCACATTGAAAATAGTTTACTACCTGCAGAGTGAGAATCATCCTTCTTGGTCTTCACATCTTTTTCTTCTGAGTCCTCACTATAAGGTAAAGGAGAAAGGGTAAACACTTAAAGTCTTAGATCAAAGTCTAAATGACCACAGATCTCTGATGTCTGACTTGAGAAAAGCATGAAAATAAAATGTTCAAACAAATGCTGAACAGTAAAATTGCTTCTATTATTTCTTCACTTCACAGTGATGTTGGTGAATAAGCTTAATTTTATCTATTATGGAAAACAAATTGCTTCCAAAGACCCAAAGTAAAAAAGAAGGTGTCTCAGCACAGGCCTGGTTCATAAGAAAAAGTATTTTCCATAGAGAAAGTACAAAAATACTAAATATAAAATGAAAATAAAACAATTTTGTTATTTACTAATAATTATTTTCTAATAACTTTTGCTTCAAATATTTCAGAAACCAAATGACTCAGGAGGTTGAGGCAGGATGATTGCAAGTTTAAGGCCAGACTCAGCAATTTAGTGAGATCCTGTATCAAAATAAAGTCAAAAAAAGGGATGAGAATGTAGCTTAGTGGTACAGTGCTCCTGGGTTCAACACCCAGTACTTAAAAAAAAAAAAAAAGAAGAAAGAAAGAAACATCAACAATGCCTGCTTTGTACCATGGAGAAAGTAAGAGTGAGCTTACAACTACTATGCAAAAGAAGCTGAGGAGCTTCAAAGTTAAATGGAAAATTTAAAAAAATATTTATTTATTTTTTGGTGATACTAAGGATTGAACCCAAGGCCTAGAATATGCTAGACAAGTAAGCATTCCACCACTGAGCTATATCCCTAGCCTGGTCTCACTGCCCATGCTGACCTCAAACTTGGCAATCCTCTTGCCTCAGCCTCCTAAGTAGCTGGGATTACAGGAATGTCCCATAAAAATAACTTTTAAGGCTGGGGTTGTGGCTCAGTGATAGAACACTTGCCTAGCATGCATGAGGTACTGGGTTCAATCCCGGCACTACATAAAAAAATAAATAAAATAAAGGTATTAAGGTATTGTGTCCATCTACAACTAAAAAATAAAACAAAAAAACAAAAAAACTTTTCAAGTCATAAACATTCATGTCCTCAAATCTTAAGTTGGGAATTTTATCAGTAATTTGTTGTAAAATCTTAAGCAAATCATTTGGCACTTACTCGAGTGCCAATGTTTTATGACTTCATGAGAAATTTTGATGAACAAAAAAGAAACACTCATCTGTAAAACCTGCCATCTTGACCTTCCTTTTTTAAACATCAGGTCTTATAAATCACTTTGGTATTCCCCATAATGTAGACCATAGTCAAATGACAAATTACTGAACCAAAGAGAACAACCATATTTCTTTACCAAGTAATCTGACTCTGAGATACTTTATAATTCTGAAACTTGTGACTATTCTATATCAACTTTTTTCATGTAAAATAGGGACTTAAAGGTTAGAATTAGAGCTTACTGGTAAAGTGATTGCTTAGTATTTACAAGGCTCTGGGTTTGACTCCCAACACCCCCCTCCCCCCCCCCACACACAGGCATTTAATTTACAAATATAACCAATGATGAAGAATCATATCATTGTAAACACTATTAGTCTTTGAGCACCATTATGGCAAAGTCAAGTGAAAGCTGAACTTTTAAGTGAAGAATAATAGAAAAATCAACACAGCATTGCTTTAAGGGAATACACAAGGCATCTAATCCAATGGCAATAAAAATTCAGAGAGAATTCAGAGAGAATAATAAAATCAAATGGTTGCAATAAGAAAAGCTTTAGACTAGATATAATTACATTGATGAAGCATTATAACAGCAATAAGCAGTTCATTCCTAGGAGAAATATAAGTGAATATAATGAAAAATTGTTCTAAATCGCATCCCTGGCCCTTTGGAACTCTGGAAGACTTCTCTTCCAATGGTATAATTTTATATTATTTTTTTCCTAAAAAACATATTTGGAAAAAACAACAACAACCCATAAAGCAAAAACAAAACAAACAAAAACAAAACAAAACAAAAAACCCCTAGATATATGCATACATGCACACACACACACAAACACACACACACACACACACACACACACACCCTTCCTAGGGATTGAACCTATGGCCTTTAGAATGCTAGGCAAATGTTTTACCACTGAGCTACATCCCCAACTTTTTTTTTTTTTTGTAGTTGTAGATGGACAGAATGCCTTAATTTTTTTGTTTTTATTTTTATGTGGTGCCAAGGATTGAACCCAGTACCTCACGCATGCTAGGCAAGCACTCTGCAGCTGAACTATAGCCCCATCCCCATCCCCATCCCCAACTCTTTTTAAATTTTATTTTGAGGGTCTTGCTAAGTTGCCCAGGATGGCCTAGAACTTGCGATCCGCCTGCCTTAGACTTCCAAGAAGTTGGAATACAGGAGTGTGCCATCACATATGGCTAAATGTATAGGTTTAACAATAAGTTTAGGGCTCCAAGTTTCTTAGAAGAAATGAAAAATACTATGTAATTTCTTTGAACTGCTCATCTGTAGTAGAGTTACTTGGAGGTGGCATAGCCTAATGGCTGAAATATGGATTTTGGGTCCAACAGGCAGGGTTTCAAAACCTGCTTGTTCATTTGCTGGGTAACCTTGGTTAAATCATTGAACCCATCTAAGTTATCATCACTTAACCTAACAGAGGTGTTAAGAGAATTAAATGATAATGTATATAAAGCATATAATAGAGCCTGACATTAATAGTCAAAGTGGTAGCTATCCTCACTCTCATTATTATCATCATCATAAAGGAAGTCTTGAAGTTATGCTGCACTGCATATGAGACTGTGTGTGAAAACCTTGGAAAACAAGCAAAAGTTACAAGATTCTGGCTTCATGAGGCAAAATTAGTTAAATTAAAACTCACTTAAACTCATTGTAAAACTAAGAGAAGAGAAGGCTTGGAGTGGTAGAGTGCTTGCCTAATATGCACAAGGCACTGTGTTTGATCCCCAGCATGGGTGAGGATGGAGCCCACAACAATGATTAAGTTATTTAAACAAAAGAGAATTGAGTATGAGACAGTAAAACTCTACTACTACTTAAGATTCTATAAGCTTTAGTTAATTTGACCAGTGATTTGTGACTGAATGAGAGGTCACTTGATCTTTGCTATCACTACAATGAAAATGTCAATAGTAATTTTAATAACCAAGTATACTCTAAAGCAGTCTTTATGCTTATGTTGAGGTTTAAGGTAGCAGCAGAGGCATTCTTAGGGAATTCAAATATTTACTTTTTAGTTATAGTTGGACACAATACCTTTATTTTATTTATTTATTTTTATGTGGTGCTGAGGATCGAACCCAGGGCCTCACACATGCTAGGCAAGTGCTCTACTGCTGAACCACAACCCCAGCCCCCACCAGCACCCCCATTACTACCCTTCATTCCCCTTTGTCTAATCCAATGAACTTCTATTCTTCCCTCCCCTTCCCTTGTTTTTTTTTTTTTGGGGGGGGAGGGGCAGGAGTGCCAGGGATTGAACCCAGGGGTGCTTAACCACTGAGCCACATCCCTGGCTCTATTTGTATTTTATTTAGAGACAGAGTCTCACTAAATTGCTTAAGGCCCTGCCTTTGCTGAGGCTGGCTTTGAACTGGTGATCTTCCTGCCTCAGCCTCCCCAACTGCTGGGATTATAGGCATGCATCACTGCGGCCAGCTTATTGTGTGTTTTTTCTTTTGAATTATTTATTTATATTGTATCAGGGATTGAACTCAGAGGCCCTTAACCATTGAGGCTCATCCCCAGCCCTTTTTTATTTAGAGACAGGATCTCACTGAATTGCTTAGCACCTCGCTGTTGCTAAGGCTGGCTTGACTCACCTTTCTCCTGCCTCAGCCTCCCCAGACACTGCAATTATAGGCGTGCACCACTGTGCCCTACTTTTTATTTTGACACAAGTTCTCACTAAGTTGCTGAGTCTAGCTTCAAACCTGTGGTCTTCCTGCCTCAGCCTCCTGAGCTGCTGGGATTATAGTTATGTGCCATCAAGCCTGGCTGATCACTTTGGATTTAAGGTTGAATCTGATCAAGCCTCATGACTCAACTCTAGACCTAGAGCATGACCTGAGATAATGAAATATGCAAAACACTAAGTAGACAGTAAGAACTCTCCAAAAAATATAAGGAGATTTCACCAACTTAAAGATCAAAGACTGCCCTCATTTCAGAGTGACAGCATCAGCAAGAATACAAAAACAATGCCTCTTACCTATCTTCCTGTGAATTCTTTCCAGATCGCCTCTTATTTTTAGCTTCTCGAGGAGATGATCGAATTTTCTTAGCAGGAGGACCTGAATCTCTTCCATAATCTTCATCTAAACGGAGCATTTTTCAAATTCATTTAACTATATTATGTTTACATGTTAAAAGCACCAACTTATATTTACTGACAATAATTATCTCATGTTACTTAAATGGCAAACAAAGGATTTTCCAAATATTTTCTTTTATTTAAAAAAAATTTTCCAACCTAGTATTATCACATTAATTCCATTTTTGTATATTACCCTCTAGTCCTCATATATACATATTTTATATACCTATAGCCAAATCTCGTCATTTTATATCATTCCATTTTATGATTTTCCCATCGTCAACATCTTCATATTTATTTGAATATTATTATAATAATCAGGTTATGTCAAAAGCATTTTAGAAAGTAAAAAACTTAGAATTCTACAGTTCTAACATAATTACTGTTATAAAGCAAATTACTTGTAAACTAAAATATTAAACATATATAATGTATTCTGGGCACTCTAGCACTTCAGAAAAACAGCTCTAACTTCAAAAGCCTTATACATTACAGAAAATTGTCCTACATCAAAAGGTGATTATTTCCAAAACTATTTACTACACCATTTTACATGTAATGGCAAGAAGGTGGAAGTAGTCTGGAGCTTCAGCAATTATTAAGTGACTGGATATATTATAAATTCCATGATGGATTATCATACCATTTAGAGGAATTTTTCAAATAACCTTTAATAAAATTTGAAACATACTTTTAAGTATGAGTGAGATAGGGGCAAAGACCAAGACCTCAACTCCATTCCTACTCTTCCCCCTCCCAGGGATTGAACTTAGGGGGCACTTGACCACTGGCCATATCCCCAGCCCCATTTTTATTTTATTTAGACACAGTGTCTCACTGAGTTGCTCAGTGCCTAGCTGTTGCTGAGACTGGCTTTGAACTCGCAATCTTCCTGCCTCAGTCTCCTGAGCTGCTGGGATTACAGGTGTGTGCATCCGTGCCTAGCTGTATTGGCCATTTCTTCATCCACTTCTTAAAATGTGGTTCTTGCTTGCAATTATTCTCTCCTGCAACACTAATTATGTGGGTAGCGAGGAGTCCTTTTCCACTCCATGTGGGACAGAGTTCAGGGTTAGAATACTACCATCCCCCAGGAGAATCCACTAGGCAGCACTTCAAGAATTTAATGTCCACTCCTGCTGGGGATGGAGGTACACCCTTAAAATCCCAGCAACTCAGGAGGCCGAGGAGGAGAATGGCAAGTTCAAGGCCAACCTCATCAACTTAGCCAGGCCCTAAGCAAGTTAGCAAGACCCTGTCTCTAAATAAAATACATTTTAAAGGGCTGGAGATGTAGCTTCAATTCCATTTTTAAAAGGTTAAAAAAAAAAAAAAAAGACTAGGAATTAACAAAGAGGTTGAAATACTATTTGCTAGCTAATGGGCCTTGAATATTCTCTCTGCCTCAGTTTCCCTAACTATAAAATGAGAATAGTAATAGCACATCTCATATTAATGGGACTGTTCTAAGGAATAAATTATTAATACAAACATTTAGAGCAAAATTCCTGGAGCAAAATGGCAGCATTTGGTATTTAGTTTTTACTCCTCTGTATATCTTTTTTTTTTTAAATATTATTTTTTAGTTGTTGATGGATCTTTATTTTATTCATTTATTCATATGTGGTGCTGACAATTGAACTCAGTGCCTCACACATGCTAGGCAAGTGCTCTGCCTCTGAGCCACAACCCTAGCCCTCTTTTGTATCTTTCTGCATTTTTCAAAGCTTTCCCAAGGGGGGGAGGGGAAGAGTGGGAAGGAAGGAAGAGGGAAGGAAATACTATGATGAATTAGTTAATAAATCAAAGTTGTTACACAAAATGGAATCCCATTTTAGTTACTTTATTATGTAAAAACCTTAACCGTGCCCTCCAATATAAGACACAGGTTTTACTCTGATAATAGCCAAAATTTTTTGAGACAGCATTTCACTATGTTGTCTAGTTTGGCCTCAAACTAGGGCTCAAGTGATCCTCCTGCTTTAGTCTCTAAAATAGCTGGGACTACAAACAGGCTACTGTGCCTGGCTCGCAGGAGATATTTTAAGTAATAAACACTATATTGGAATTATAGGACATTTAACTTTAGGACTCCAAAACCATGTGAGAAAAAAAATTAAGTGTTTATTATCTATGACTTACAAGAAAGCTAATTCCCATGCAAATTCAACTTTTATTTTGGTTAACACAAATAATTTGGATAAATATACTAAAAATAAAAAAATAAAACTTATTCTACCAGGTACGGTGGCACATGCCTTAATCCAAGTTGACTCAGAGGAGGCTGAAGTAGGGAGACTGCAAGTTTGAGGCCAGCCTCAACAACTTAACGAAACCCTTTCTCAAAATAAAAATGCTGGGGGATGTAGCTGAGTGGTAAAGTGGCCTAAGTTCAATCCCTAGTACTGCAAAATGAACAAATAAAATTTATTACTAAAATATGATATATTAGCTGCCAACTCTTCCAATAGTCAGTCCAACATAAAATTTGTTGAAATCACAAAACATACCTGCATCATCAGATTCCTGAAACTGTGAGTAATCAACAACCTTCCTGTTTCTGTAGAAAGAAGAGAATAATTAACATCATATATATGCAAAACTTTTCCAAGATATCAGAACATACACTTTTATTTCATACACAGAATTAGAATAGCTCTCTGAAAATTATTTAACATTTCCATATTTTAGCCAAAACACTTCATATTTTTTAAAAATATATTTATTTTTTAGTTGTAGGTGGACATAATACCTTTATTTTTATGCGGTGCTGAGAATCGAACCCAGTGCCTCATGCACATTAGGCGAGCGCTCTATCTCTGAGCCACAACCCCAGCCCTTCACATTTTGTTATAGGAAAATGCAGCTTAATTCAAAATATTTCAAATTATTCTTTTTATACTGCTCATCTCAGTGACAGTTCAAATGCCGTAAAACTACCTTCCCAAAACACACGTCAGCAAAATAAACTAACTCACCATACCTTCATTATACAGATACCATATTTGCAAGGCAAAATTGTAAATTTTTATTCTTACTGCTATACACATGTATAGTTCATAAACAAAATTACTGCTAAACTTTGTTTTCAAGGCAACATCAATTTTTAGACATAATATAGTTAGAGTAAAACAAAAAATATAATAACACTAAATTAAATGTTATACATGAGAAGGAGACTAAAGCTTACTGATTTAGTCAAAAGATGTTTTTTATTAAAGGGTATATCATTTTTTAAAAAATTTTTTTAGTTGTAGATGGACACAATCTTTTTTAAAAAAATTTACATTTGACAATTCCCACACCTCAACAAAAGTGACAATGTAATAAACATACTGGTTGACTGTGTTCTCTTCAGACTGTTTAATGTCCACAAACTGTTTTTTAAGTCTTCTTTTTTGGATTTTTCCAGTGCTTTGTCATTATTTTCTCATCTTCCCTGACACTTGGTGCAGTATCACTTGACTTGGTTTGTGACTGAGTCATACTCAGAAGTGGAACCACTGGATGGGGCACTCTTCCTTGTGGTAGCTTATCATTTCTCCATTGGAGAGCTGTTTGCACAGTACTTGGGTTCATTTGAGTTAATGGGAAGGTCTGCAGGGGATGCTTCCATCTCTGCTTTGGCCTTGGAACATTTTCTTCTTCTTTGAGGTCTTCGCTTTCTTTTCCTTGGGTGTTCCCAAGGTGATGTTATCATGGTTATGATTATTGGATACATTCTCTCCATTTTTAGTGTTGCATTGTGGCTGGGACCTCTTGTTATTCAGTTTTCCTGCCTGTGTGATAATCTCATTCTTGGACTTATCCTGGCCAGTTTTGCCACTTTGCAATGGTGTCACACTCTCTTGATGTGCTTCAAAAAAGTTCAACATGACTTGTCTGCCCTGGTTCTCTACTAGCTATGCCATCTGACTCAATTTGAATCTTCTCATTGCCCTGCTCCTAGCTCCAAATCAGAGCTGTCTGGATGCAGTGTACCACTCACCTTTTCTGGGCATCAACCATCTCTCCTTCATTCAAACTTCTCAAAATATTCATCCAATTCCTTCAGGAGTTCCCTTGGTCACTTACAACTTCTGGCCACTTATGCTGCACCCTTAGATCAGCAGAGAGGTTTCTGGGACCTTTGGCAGGTCACCAGACCAGGCTGGCTTCCAGAGCTGCTGCCCCGGTTGCCAGCCTCAAACTAATCTTAATTTTTGCTTTCTTACTAAATCTAAATTTGAAATTCCTCCTTTAGAAATATTAGCAAGCTTCCATGTTAGAAACCACACAGACCAGCTTCCAAAAGTGTCTTAGATAAAAGATGCACATATAAGTGAATCAAGGTATTAAGAGGATATTCCTGGTTGTATAGAATAGGGCATCACTTAAGATCCAAAGACAGTGAGTATAAGCACTGGTTATTTAGTATTATCATGATATGTAAGGATGATATCTTTGCCTGTTTAAAAAAAAAAGTCTAAAAAAAAAGTCTATTAATTCCACTTATATGAGGGACCTACAGTAGTCATATTCACAGAGGCAAAAAGTAGAATGGTGGTTGCAAGGGGCTAGAAGAGGGGGAATGAGTAGTTAGGATATACTTTCCACTATTAAACTGTACATTAAATGGTCAAGATGGTAAATATCCTATTAAATAGGTTTTATCCTAATGAAAATGTAACTATTTAAAAAAGTATTTGGGGGCTAGTATGGAAATGCCCACTGTGCTCTGGAAAAATGATTATTTTTAATGACAAATGCCATGAAAAATAGTATTATGATTACAATGCAGAGAGGCATCTTCTGTGTTATTTACAAAACAAACAAAAAAGGAAATGGAAACAAGGAAAGGAAAATACCCAGAAGAGGGACGATTTAAAAACAAAACTTTTTATTGAACAAGTCCATGAAATAAACCAACAGCAGGTAGATTTATCTATTTTGTAATCTAGGGATTGAACCCAGGCCCCACATAAGCTCTACCCTTGAGTTATACTCTCAACCCCAGAAGAGGAAGTTTGAAATCTTAATCCCTAATAATTGGACTCTAGGTTCCAAACTTGTAGGCATAATTTTAGTTTATCTCGTACTTGTGATATGGCAACAAAAATATCACTCAATTTCTGTCAAGTAGCCATAAATAAATCCTGAGACTACTTTATGTATGCTACCAGAATAGAAAAGGATGCATCATATGAATATAAACTGAACCCATTCCTTGCAAGGAAAAACATGTTAGTTACATTACAGCATTCATTGACATGAAAAGGAGTAGTCATGTTTTCTTCATCATCTGAGCTTCTTGGAAGTAACAATCATGTCTGGATATCCACATTTATGGCAAAGGGCAAGGTAAAAAGTTTGCTTTTAGGTCAAATTTGAGAGCTCTGTTAAAGCTTATTTTTCTGTTTTATAGAATAATATCCAATATCCTTTAAGTCTTTGAGATCTCATCTCTTGCCACTTGACAATCAAGCAACCTAGTTCCTCCAATCCTGTGGTTTCTTACCACTTGCTCCTGTTGCTTTGTCCCAGAAGGCTGTGCGGTTACTCCCACTCAAATCCAACTTGACCTCTCAACACCCTTAATCCTTTGATACTATGTAATTTGCTAAAACTTCTGTCTTACTGAACTTAAGCTTCTTGTGGGCAGGGATTGTCTCTTCTTCATTAGGAACACCAAATTCAAGCAATGTATTTTTTAAAAATATTTTTATTAGTTGTTGATGGGAATTTATTTATTTATTTATATGCAGTGCTGAGAATCAACCCAGTGCCTCACACATGCTAGGCAAGGGCTCTACCAGTGAGCCACCAACACAGCCCCTCAAACAATGTATTTGATGTGTAAATGGATTTAGCATCTGCAAAGGGTTAGGGTGGGAAAAGGCATCAGTAGAGAGGAAGTTTGCAAGACTGTCATTTTCAGCCCATCAGGCATTTGACTAACAATTGCCTTTCAAGACAAAACTGTTTCCTTCCTATGAAATAACTTGTTTCTTTAATAAATTTTCAAATTCAAGGCTAGCCTGGGAAACTTGGTGAGATCCTGTCTCAAAAACATAAAAAGGGCCGTGATGTAGCTCAGTGGTAACACACCCAAGTTAAATCTCCAATGCCGCAAAAAGAAAAAAAAGGAAAAATCCCACACACAAAAACAACTTAGTTGAAAAGTCTATTATTAAGTATATTTTCTCTATTCTAATTTTCAAAGAGAACTACAGAAATTCTATGCAGACAATACTGAGAAATAAGAAAGTTTCAAAACTGAATCGAAAGATGATCCCTTCCTTTAAAACCACCAATATTTAAACTTTTAAATGATCTGAAAACAGCCAGAATTTTGAGAATTATGTTATTTGGACCTGAATCGTTATTTGAACACTGCATCATATTCAATCACAAGAATAGGATCCTAAAAAGTTATACTCCATGGGTATGTATAATATGTCAAAATATACTCTATTGTCATGTATAGCTAAAAATAACAAGTTTTTTTTTTTTTTAAATGTCATTGTCATAAAAACTATTAAAATAGAGTAAAGGGACTGGGGTTGTGGCTCAGCAGTAGAGTTCTCACCTAAAACATGCAAGGCCCTGGATTCAATCCTCACCACCACATAAAAATAAATAAAGGTATTATGTCCAACTACAACTAAAAACTAATAAAACAAACAAATAGAAAAAAACAGAGGAAAGCAAAATATGAGTATAGGAATGGAGTCTTATTAAGGGTAACTAGCCAAACCAAATTAAACTAATAAAAAATTGATAAAAAGGAAAGGATTATTTAGGTAAATGATCTATGGTAACAAGGGCTATTCATAATGACTAGATATATTGACTTATAATAATAATTTGGTTGATTTCTCAAACTATGTCCTGCCTTTTAAAGATACCTAAAAAAAAAAAAAAAAAAAACAATTCTACTAAAGTCAGTCCTTTAAATGTGGGTTCCACACCTGCAGATTTAATGATGGACTAAAAACATTCAGTGTTAAAAAAAAAAAAGTGTATAGACATTTTTCTTTGTCATTATTCCCTAAGCAATACAGTATAACAACTACTTTTGCGTGTGTGTGGTGCTGGGGATTGAACCCAGGGACTTAACGAATGCCAGGCAAGTGCTCTACCAATGGGTTATACCTCAGACCCAGTATAACAACTATTAACACAGCATTTACAGTATACAGACATCACAAGTAATCTAAAGATGACTTTAAAACATTCAGAAGAATATGCATAGGTTACACGCAAAGATACCATTTTATATAAGGGATTTGAGTATTCAGAGATTTTCTAGCCTAAACAGAAACAACATTAGTCCCTCAAAATATTATTATTTAAATTCAGGCCAAAGCTAAACTAATTCTCCAGTGTATAATGGGTAATAACTAGAACTTGGAGGCCCATATTGTAAAATTACAATATATCAGAGAGGTCAAAAACGAATTTCCAAACTGGATTTAAATCCTGACTTTGCCACTTACTAGTGGTATGTCCCCAAGGAAGTGCTTTCTCTTCAATGAACTTCAGTTTTTCTTCACATTTAAAACAGGAATACCTCTCAAG